CCATCTTTCGATAATACATAGTGACATGTGTGATCGGACACTTAGTACCATTGTACTTTTCAAACTTAAGAACCTTGAACTTTGATAATATTATAACATCTAGGACAAGCAGAGGCTGATTGCATCTATAGAGCCATAAAAGTCTATACCTTCAATGGCTTGTAGTCTCTCTTCTAGTGGGTTCATTTTTTGTTCAGACTTTGAGTCTTCTAAATTTTTAACTACCTTCAATTTGAGCTTTCTTATTTTCTTTTAAGTTATTAAGTTAGGGATTAGGATTGAAACTGGTTTAGTTATCTTTTTTTGTGAAGACAAGATTAGCAAAACTTTGAAATTACCTCTAAGTCGACGATAAGGCATTCCAAAATAGATATGTCATGCAAGGATTGTGAATTGTTATGGAGGAATTCTTTGAGTGGGCTGGACATGATATGGACCATAGCAGGGATGATACAGAGGATTAACAACATCTTACGATGTATAGTCTTTAGGGTTAACATCTTATTCTATAGTCTTTCCTTTATTCAACTTATTCAGTGCTTCAAGATTTTTGTTCAACTCCTCTTTAATTTCCTCTTAAGCCATTTTCAATTTCTTAATATGGCTTGCATTGTCTTGCTTCATTCTTCTAGTTTGAGCTCAAGTGTTATATTGATAGTGAGTTAGTTGAGCTATCCTTGAATCTTATTTATCACAATTATGGTGCATATTTAAAATGATGTTCATAAAACCATCCAATGAGAACAAATGCAGGAATGTAGGAATGAATGAATGCAATAAGAAGAATTTACCACATAACAATTATTAACAAAGAAAATCCTTATTGAATTAAATATTATTTCTAACCAAATCCCATATTACATCCATGAAAAATCTTGAATTTATTAAGGAAAAAATCCTTAATTTGTCAATATTAGCATTGTACTTCATTAAGAAAATCTAGCAGTTTTTTGCTATGTGCTCTTACTATGGCACCCTTGTCTTTCATTCTTCAACCTTTTCTACTTTGTCATTAGCTTTGTAAGTAGTCACAATAATTTGGTTAAGCAGAGACTCCAACTTGTCATGTTGTCTCATATATGCTTTCTTTATTTGTTTGCATTCTTCATTCACAGCCTCTATTTGTAATCCAATTTCAACCATAACCCCACTTAGCATTTGGATGTGCCTTTATGCCTTAGAGAGTGTCTCTTCCCTTTATTGTAGCTTTGCTTGCAATTGCTTATTTTCTTTCAAAAATTGGGTTAACTCTCAAGTGGTGGATAACTATGTTATATTAAGGTCAATGAACAAAGTCTTTCATTCATCCCTTTCTTGTTCAAATGCTTGAACTTTCCTTTTGAGCCTTTTGTTTGCAAGATTCAACTCTTTGAACTCTTTTTTTAGGCCAGTAAAGGACTTTGCTAGGTTTTCTATAAATGTAATTAAGATTTTTTTTGTTAAAATTATTTCATAGTAATTACTCCTTATCATGAATCTAATGATGTGAATGCTACATAGTAAAAAAGAGGATTATTATACACATAATATGTACAAAATATATATAATATGTATAAAGAACAACATAAAGGGTTAGTAAATAATATATACAAAGAACAATAAAAATTTACAAGCAGAATAAATGTCCATCATGTGTCATATTTTGGATTTTTTGACACAAGGGAAGGCATGGCTCTAACTTGTGTTCAAACCCTTAGGGTATATGTATATGCTAAGTTCAAAGGTTTGACAGTCTAAGAGTTCCCAAATTGTTGCTTATATTATTTTCATTATAGACTAGTAAAACACCAAAATCCTCACCCATTATAAGCTATAAATGAAAAACGGTTCAATTTGAGTGAAAGTATTTCGATAACCCATGTAGAGACATGAAATTTTAGGAAGGCATAGGTATTTTACTCCCTCCTAAAAGACGAAACCCAAGTGTAGAGCTCATGTTATGCACACACAAATGAATGACAGATATAAAAAATAATAATAAATCAATAAATAAAACACAAACAAGAAGAAATTTTCTTAAATTTATTAAATTGGGCTTGGATAACAAGAAATCATTTACTAGCTTGACTTTTGACATCCCTAGTGGAGTCGTCAAACTTTTATAACATATAGATTCGTGAATCTATTACTAGACATAGACTTTAAAAGCTATCACCAATTTTTTTATTTAGATGTGATTGGCCATCTAACCAAATCTGTCCAATTTTAACGAGAAGTCTTAAGTTTAACTTATGTATCTTTAAATAGAAAATCATAGTCTCAAAATCAAACTAAGATTCGAAAATACATTTACGTGTGAAAAAGGTTATAGTACTCTCATAGTGCCGATCTAAAGGATAGTACCAATTTGATTTCAAGTTGTCTAAGCCTAAAAAATATTTTTATAATGTACCAAATAATTTAATATTGAAAGTTTTTCTTAAATTACTCCAATATGTTGGTAATAACTTAAAAATATTTTCTCACTTCAAGAGTATTCAAGGTGACTATTTATCATACTTTGAAGAGGCTCCGTCATTAGACTCATTTAATTTTTTTTAAACAAAAAACTTTTATTTGGTATAATAAGATTTAGAATCTTTGTATTGAAAAATCTTATCTAGATTCTCCAATATGTTAGTAAAATGTAGAAAAATATTTTCTCACATAAGAATGTATATAGATATTGCTATTTATAACGCTCTTAGTAATTCTATTATTAGATATTTAAAATCTAATTTTTATAAAAATAATTTATTTTCAGAAAATATCTTCTAATATATTGATAAAATTTTTTGCTAAAAATTATCCTCCAATATGTTGGTAGGATGCTATGAAAGCTATTTTTCTTTTTATTTTGAAAGAAAAAAACTATTTAAAATAAATAAAATTATCATGTAAATAATGTAATAATATAAATATCATGCAATAATATTATATATCATGCAACAAATCATGCAATGTAATATCAGGCAAAATATAAAATATCATGCAGGTATTAATTAATCATACAAGTATAAGTCACACAAAATCATGTAATTAAATATAATCACACAAATAAATATATTAAATTTTGTAATTAAATATATTAATAATCATGCAATCAAATTAAATACAAACATATAAATAAATATATAATCATATCATGTAATAAATATAAAATCATATTATGCAATAAATATAAGATCATATCATGCAAATATATTGTAAAATCATGCAAAATATATATTACAATTAATGTCAAAGTTTTTTTTTCTTTTTTAATTAATTCAATCACAATTAAAATAAATAAATAATAAAACAAAAATATAAATATAAAAAATAAAACAAAAAAAATTAGAAAATAAAATAAAAATCAAAAAAGCAAAAGAAAAAGAAAAGCAAAACCTTGTCAAATCCAAAGCTGGTAGGCACATGGGTCATTGACAAGTCAACTGAATCTTGGCTTTGCAAAACAACACTGTATTGACTTAGGTATAATAGCCAAATCCCAAGCCTTTTTTTCATATTTTCAATTTTTTTCTCTCTTTACACTTTAATTCCTCTCCCCTCTCTCTAAAACAGCCAATGAAAAATTCAACTGGCCAACTAAATCCCAGATTCTAGCATCGAAAACTTCAATCGACCTTCAAAAAATTTAAAATTATCCAAAATTTTGGATGAACTTAGATAACGACCACCACCAAAACCTTCAACCGTTGTGAACCTCACCGAAATCTTCAAAACCCCACCGAAAAATTCATATAAAAACCCAAAAAATCTCTCAAAAACCTAAACATTTACTCTAAATCCAGAAAAATCAAAATTTTTTAAAAATTTTAGAAGAATCTCAGGATTAGCCTAAACAAAAATCAAAATCAAATCCAAACCCAAAAGACCTAGAGGATCAAACCAAAAAAAAATCCAAAAAAAAAAATTCAAAACTCCCAAAAATCCAAAATTAAACGAAAAATCTAAATTTAAAATTTCACTTCAATAATCAAACCAAGACCTAGAAAATCAAAATACAAATTCTTCAAAATCATATTCCAGAACAGAACCATACCCAAGATGATTCCAAAAAAAAAAAAAACTAAAATATTAACCCATAACCCAAAATCAAAACCCAAAACTTTTAATAATGAATTCCTAGAATGAACCCCAAAATCAATTGGAACTCAGAAAACTTTTCTAGCTTCTTTAATTTTTTGTGATTATTACTAGTTTCCCCCGTAGAATTTCTCCGTATGTCTATGGCTTGACCAATTAGAGTTTTTATAAGGATTTAATTCCTTTTAATTTTGAAAGAATTAATTTCATCGTATGATTGATTTTTTTGTGATTTTATAATTTGTGATTTTTCTTTTCTCATAAAGATTAGGATCTAAATATTCTAAAATTATTCAATCATTAAACTTCAAAATTAAATCTATGACTAAATCAAATCCCATAATTCCAATATTTTTGCCTTTTTTTTCTTTCTTTCTTAACTTTTTTAATTTTTTTTTTTTTACTTTTGTAATTTTGACCTTTGACCTATACTAAAAATAAATCAAAATTAAAATTAAAATTAAATAAAATTAAAATCAAAGTTAAAATCAAGCAAAATCAAAACTCAAAATTTTTGTTTAAGTTTTTAAACATTGGCCCAAAGCTTTCCAACTAGGCGCATTTTACAATCAAAAGCTCATTTTAATTTCGAATAATTTTTTCAAATAAAATGAAGTATCTACAATAATTTTTAAATTGATAAATTTATTTCAAATTAAAAAATAATGAGAGATATTATGATTTCAAATTTCAAAGAAATTTAAAAAATTATTACAAAGAAATTTATTAAGATAAAAATATCTTTTTGGTATTTTAAATTTGAAATTTTATTTTGAGATTTGATCTTGAATTTGTTTTTTCGCTCTCTTTTTAAGTTTAGTTTGTATTTTCTTTTATGAAATTAGTAAGTAATGAATATATATAGGAAAAAGTAGAAAAAGATTATTCATAACAGGTGACTTATTAATTTGTGAATTTATGATTTGTGAATTATCTTGTTGAGCTCTTTAAAATATGAATAGTATAAGGGCAGAAATCTGAAGTAATGGCTGCAATTCCCTTCAGTTCCATGGGCTTTGATTAAGAAAAATAAAGCATCTGCGACTCAGCTCAGTTTCAGGACCTGATACCATAAAAAGTGGCTGGCTCTTCTGAATGGATAGAGTTTCGTGGTCGAACCTCCCTGAGGATCTCTTGGTAAAGATCGGTAAATATCTGGACGCTCTCTTCGATGTCATCCGATTTCGTAGTGTCTGTAGAAGATGGCGATATTCACTCTCTTTTCTTCACATCAATTCGCATCTTGAATTTCCTGGGATGACAGATCGCAATCCCCAAACCTCTTTTGCAGGGTATGTCTCAAAATCTTCATACCTCGTTAAAAACACTGTCTATATTCTTAATCAATATGCAACCCCTTCTCCTATTTCAATGCCATGGTTGCTCAAACTTGAAGAAACCGAAGAGGGTAAGCTTCGCATTATAAATCCCATGTCGAATAGCCCTGTTAAGGATTTACCATCCACATTCCCCAACGTTTTAAACTTGCTTGACTTCCCAATTCTCGAAGTAAGCAGAGGGTATATTAGGAAAGACACGTTTAAAAGAGTGGAACATGCTACATCTATTGTAACAAAAGCAGTTATGTTGCCAGAGTCTGGCAGGGTTAGCATACACGACGATTTCATGGTTCTCAATCTTTGCCAAGATGGAGGGTTGATTCTTTGGAGAAACGGAGATGATGAGTTGAAGCAAATAAATGAGCACGAGTTTCACTATGATGACATTGCGGTTTATAAAGGGCGTTTTGTTGCTGTAGATAGATGGGGAACCGTTTCCTTAGTTGATTCTTCCTCGCAGTTAATAAAATACACTCCTCCCATTTTCAATGGCGGTAGCAAGAAGCATTTGGTTGTGACTTCTGAAGATCTTTATGCAGTTGATAGATACCTTGATCGAGCCCGGACAACTCGAAATCCTTATAAGAAAGAGGATGCAAAGGTGGTTGCTTTTAAGGTGTATAAGTTGGATGAAGAGTGGGGATGGACAGAGGTGACAAGTTTAGATAATCGGATTTTGTTCATAGGCGAGGGATTAAACTTCTTTGTTCCGATTGGGGAACTTAGGGGATGTAATGGAAATTGCATTTATTTTGTAGATGAGGATCGTACTTGGTACAATGATGACGATGATGCACTTGTAGGATCAACAGGTCATGGCATTGCTGTTTTCAACTTGGTGAATGGTAGGATTGGGAAGCTATCATCTTTCCCTGGCTACTCTGAGATGTTTTGGCCTCCTCCATCTTGGTTCACTGCAAATTAATATCCATCATGAAATTAGATGTAAGTATAATTTGCGTTCTAATATTAGATTGTAAGATTGGCAGGGTGTTCATAGGGTAACATTATTGAATTTTCTTTATATGATTTTTCCTCATTGCTTGTTCATAAAAGTCTTAGGTGAACAAATCTCTTTAAATTTGTTTGTGTTTTATCATTTAAGATGAGAATATGCTAGCAACTAATATGCTTGATCTGTTTTGTGTCATTATCACATGAAGAAAACAAGTTAGATGGCCTATAGCTCTGTGTAGATTGTGAGAATTTTTAGAGCTGGCAGAACATTAAGGCTCATGAATAGCCAAACCTATTAGCTCTAGTCTACATTGAAACAACTTAAATTGTGTCACTGATGTCTGTGTCTAATTTTCTTATCACACAATTAACCATAAACCAGGCTGTAGGATTGCAATAAATTTTAGGTTAAAAATTCCTTGTTCCCCAGCATTAGATTTTTCTAGTTGTTTGCCATTTGGATTGTTTAAAGGGCTTACTAATCTGTCCTAGGCAAGCTGAAATTGATGGATGGCAAAGAATAGCAGTTCGGTTCGACAAACAGAACATGGATTGTAACAAACTTTGACGAATAATTCATGAACATATTTAATTTCTGTTTTTTATATTTATTTATTAATTTAAAAAAAAATCACGAATAATATTTTAAATGAATTAAACAAACAATTCTTGAACATAGTAGAATTTGTTCATATTTGATTTGTTTGTGAAAATTAATTAAGTGTTTGATCAACAATTCATAAATATATTTGGTTTTTGTTTATTTATTAAGTTTAACAAATAATCACTTATCACATTTTATGATTCGTTAATTAAACGAACAGATCATGAACACAAATATAACCATGATTGATTCATTTACACCCCTAATATTGGTTGAAATCCAAAACACAGTTTACTGGATACCTCTGTTTCTTTATGTTTTAGGCGTTCAAGCTACCAAATTGAGCGATACTTCTACAGTCCCTGAATGGTAAGAAAAATCCAAAGGCTTGGCTTCAGTTGATGCATCAAGCTATATTTGCTTTCATACTTTAGTTTATAGTTATCTAGTTTATGACATGCTTTGTGAGAAAAAAAGTTAACCATATTGTATTTTGCATATTCTGAAGTCTATAATTGTCAGGTTTCATCCCTTCTCTTTACTCTTCTTTCCCACTTCTTTAAGCTATAGCAAATATTCATTCTGCTTGATGCAGGTGACCTTTGCAGAGTTTCTTTCCATCGAAAAGACAAGTTGTGTGCAGACTTAAGCATTTTAGTTTTCCTGGCTAATTGCAGTGTTTGTCATGTAACATAATTCCTATTATAAATTTTAAGTTTGTTTTGAGCCCATGTTTATAAGAACATTTGGAGCTACAATAAAGCTCTCGTTTTTGCTCCTCTGCAGCAACTGCATAATATTTCCTAGGTGTGCTATGCCATAATGTATCTTGGAAAATGAGGGATATGGTAGACGGATGATTATTTACACTGTCAATGATAAGTGATTTTAGACTTTCAGAGAGTCATAGAGATTATAGCGAAATACAGGTTTTCAACTTGTCGAGTCATTTCATATTGAGAGAGCAATAACTAAAGTAGCCTCTTTTTCTTTCTCCCTAATAAAAGAGTTCAAGAAACAAATGATCATTTTGAGCGAGCAATTCCATATACATGGTTGCTATACATGTTTCAGAACTGCATTGGCAGACTGACGAGCAAAGTATTTTTGCCTCAGTTGAACATATGGGTAACCAATAAATGATAGAAAGTGAGCAGGCTTTGAGAAGGAAAGTACTTCATACCACACTTGATCATTCTCGTCCAGCTCAATTGAAAATCGTTCTTCCCCAGCCTGATTTCCAGCAGATATTCCACACCAAGTTAGCATCAATTGGGAAATATAATATGCAGAACTAACAATAGAAACAGATAGAATACCCCAAATTTTTTAGGGGCACAACGAACACTTTTCCCTTTTTTTTTTTGGAAATAAGCCATAACAAATCTGAGAAAAATTTGTAATTTCAACCGACCCAAAATACTCAGTCTTACTTTGTTTTGAGATTAAAAATCAGAACTGAGAAGAATAAAATACTAACCAGTAGGTGACCTTGTAACGTACCACTACCAAAACCAAAGCAGGCTACAGACTTCTTAGCCTTAGTGCTTGTGTTTTCCTTAACATACACCACTTGGAGAGGCATCATGACCCATGGTAGAAACTCCTTGAGACAAACACAGAATTTCACCCCATTTTGAATCGGAGTCTTGGGATCAACAAATGCCCAACTGAATCCAAAATGCCTGAAAATAATAGCTAGATAACATATGACAAGGATATACCTCACAATAGCAATTCTCTTCATCTGCCAAAAACAACACACGCACCTCCAATTCTGCAGAGCTGCCTTGCCCTTTTCATAGGTGTCAAGACCAGAACCAACTAAAACACGTGCATGATTGACAAAATAACCATCTTTGGAGAGCTCCTTGTCTTCCTTGATGCAAGACACGGGCTTTGCAGTAGCTCCTTTATATTTGGTTTCATAGTTGAATGTACCTGACCTGGTCATAATTTACACATATAAATGGGTAATTTTCCCAAGAAAACAAAAGAAAAAGAAAGATAAACATATTATCTTCTAGTACTTGTTAATGCAAGATTTCTGTTGTTCAAGAGAAGGTCGGGCCCAGCACAAGAAAACCATGTCTGTCAAAAACATGAATAATCCTCAATCACCCAAACTCATAGAAAATCTCACCAAATCACTCTTTAAAGCATATTGAGCACAATATTTGAAACATGGAATCAGCAGCTCCTACAAGCACTCAATTAAAAATGACTGCTTTCAAAGAAATGGTAAATTAGAGCAGCATAATCCTATTTCTAGCACATAAAATCAATCAGGTATAATCCAATCTATAAACCAAATGAGAAATTTAACTGTTATCCAACTAAAGCAAGTTGGAATGCTGTTCTTGGGTATTTGATTATTATTCTTGCAATGAAATTGGCTGACAGTACGCAGAAGTGGATGAATTAACCGAGAAGGGACGAGAGGAAAGAGAAGCGAAGAAGTCGAAAAGGGCCGACGTTAATCGTGGCCATTTCCTCGTTGACGAGGAAGCTCATCTGGGCCATTATTTACACATCAGGCCTAAGTTATGGGCTTACTACCCAGTGCCCCGGCCTTAAAATTTGTAGTGGGCTGAAGATTTTATTTAATTTTATAACAAATAATTTTAAAAATTTTATCATTTTTAGTTTTTGAATTTTTGAGATTTAAAGGAAAAAAAATTTTGAAAGTTTTATATATAGAGTTCATTGTCGTTAATTTTTTTTTTTTTTTTTAAAAAAATCTCATAGCTACTATCTTTAGTTTTAAAAAAATATTTAAATTCTAGATCTAAAAAAATTTTAATAAATTTATAAATTTATTGTTATTTTTCAATGAGTATTTTTAGTTAACTTTTGTGTAAATTATTTTTTCAATTGATTATTGTTTTAGTTGCATTTTTTTATATATTGAAATTTAATATATTGGTTAGTCTTGCAATGTTTTAGGTTGACCTTTTCATTAATAAGTTGAATATATTTTTAGGGATTTTTTTTTATTATCTGGGTTTTTTTTTGTAAAAAAAATTTGAAAAGCTTTATAATTGCCAACAACACTTCCTTCCCCCTTTACTCACGTTTTATTATTTTATTATAATTATAATTATAATAAAGCAAATAAAAAGAAAATATTTTTTAAATAGATTTTTAGAAAAACTTTAAAATGGCACATGGTGTGGAAAGAGCATGTCACATGTCAACATATTAACTTCTTAGGAAATTATTTGAAAAAATTATTTTTAAAAATAATTAGGAAATTTTTTTAAAAAAGTTTTATTAAAAAAACACATGGTAAGCAAGGTATTCCCCATATGTCACTATACTATCCCTTAGGGGATAATTTTAATAGGATATATTATAGTTGTTATAAATGTTATAGATATTATAGATGAACAAAGAAATGCTTTGTCAACACTTTTAATGAGAAGGAATGCTTTTAACCTTCCTTTATTCTTGATAATTTGTATATACATATTATTTATTTTATGCTAAATATGTATGAAATATAAAAATTTTATCATGTCATAATTTATGTCAAATATGAATTTTTATTTTTTTTTTATCAAGTCCATAAAAGTTTTTGTCAACTTTAAACCTTTTCACTTTTATAGTTTTTATCACTTTTTCTCATATAATCATATTATGTTTAAAATTATCAAATCTATCTTTCTTGGAATAAAGGATTTATACTTTTGTTGAGTCTATTGAACCCATATTATTTTTTATGCTACCAAAATCCTCTACTTAATGTTTGTCTAATAAGTTTATTGAAGTGTTTTAAACTTAACCATTTATTATCAAATGATTAACACAAATTCATGAAGGTTTAAATTTGATCAAGCATTTATGAAAGACTAATCTAATAGATGAGGAGAGTTTTGGATTGAATGTTGCAACATATTGTTCAAGAAATTACTTTAAAGCATAATGTGGATGGAATTCATCTTGAAATAAAATCAGTGAACAAAGATTAAGATGAACAAGATTTGAAGATTGTTTAAATCAAGTAAAATTGATTTGGAGAAAGCATTGAAGCAAATGGTATGAAAGCATGCAAGAAAAAACTTAGAAAAAGCACAATTCTATTAGGGCATCCAACTACCCTATCACTGCTTGCAATTACCAAAGGGTAATTTCAAATTAAAAGTAAAAAGTGTTAAAGTCATTCGACTTCCACATACGACATCCAATTGCCGAATACATTTTTTGAAGTACAAGCTTATCAAAAAATAAAGCAATCGACTGCTCACATTTAGCGTTTGACAGCTCAAGCAATTTTTTATTCTAGAAGCTTCTCAAGTCTAGAGCATCTGATTGCCCATGTTTGGTATCTGACTGTAAAAAAAAATTAAAAAATATCATTTTCCAACGGTAATATTTTAATTTTTGGCTAAGAGATCAACTAGCTATAAAAGTGTTCTTCACCTATAAATACACCCAAGAGGATTGAAGAATAACAAGACTCAAACATAAACAAAAGATCAAAGCATTCCATTTAAGAAAATCAAGAATTCTTTCTTCAAAAGTCTAGAATTTTATTTTTTTTCTATTTTTTGAGTGAATTTTGTAATGAGTTTTATTCGTGTTATTTGATTTTTTAATGATCATAAACTCATTATTGTTGTTTGTTTCAAATCGTAAGGAGCCCTTTGGTCTTTAATTGTGAAGATAGCACTTTAGGTTGAAACTTGCACATCTTGTTTTTTAGCTTGGAATAGCTCAATTTTGTAAAGACTTGGTGGAAGCTGCAATTCCATCATATAATGGGTTATAAATTTTTGGCTAAGTTTGTCAAAGTAATGGACATAAGTCAATAAGGGCCGAATCACTCCAAATTGTTGTGCAACATTTTCATCTCCAATCTTCCAAATTGTTGTGCAACATTTTCATCTCCAATCTTATTAGGTGAAATTTACTTATTGTTCTAATCTTTGTAATTAGAGCACTTAGAAGTTTTTAATCTTCATTTTTTTTTTTATAAAATGCTATTCACACCTTCTAGTACATCTACTTGGTACCAACATATTTTTTTCTCCCTATTGTATTAGATATGCTGGACAATCAGTTATTGAAAAGTTTCTTTGCATTCACCTTTTTATTTGGAAGTTAAGGAGTCTTTAAACAAGATTAGACAAGGCTACACAAGCAATTTGTTGGTAATTATGCTCTATATTGTAAATAAAATAGATTAATGTTGTTCCTTTCAAGGAGATTGAATTACTTATGGATTTTTTTTCTTTCCTTAAGCTTATTAAAATTATAACACTTCAAACCTATGTCCAAAGATTGTGAAAATTTATTATGATATATATGTAAAGATCTAAATTTATACTTGTGATGTATCTTTTTTTAGATAAAATTATAAAACTTGAGTCAAAACAGATAATACTTCTTAAGTAAAGTGTAGATCTCCACAAATAAAATCAGAGCTTAAAATTTTCAATCTTAGTTTTGACGAGCAATAATTTAACAATTTAGACAAATTTGTGAATGATGAGCGTAAGATAGAAAACTTAATGATGAGTGTAGGATAGAAAACTTAAGTTTGGACGTTTCTTTCTTCCTCTTCTTTTGTTAGGATTGCTGTAGTTTTTATTAGTGAAAAGACGTTTTCATAATATGTTTACTATCATGATTGAATCAATATATGTCATTGTAAACTTAAACTTGCTAAGATCACAGCTAAGGCTAGGGTTGGTGGTTCTACGAGTTCTCGTCCTGAGAGACACTATAGTTCACAAGGTCAAAACCAAGATTAAGGTGATACTCAGTACAAGAAAATTATCATATGTTGATGTTAAAAAATTATCAGTAAAATCTTAAAATCTGTCTATATAACACAATAAACTTTATACCAACGATCAAAATATATATTTTGATAAATTTTTAATCAGTAATATATCTCTTAACGATATAAATTTATATTAACGATTTTTAAAGTATCAAAATAAATAGTAAAATATACTAACGATTTAAGCCTGCTAATAATTGTATATTCATTGGTATAATATTCGTTATGTGTTCTACATTTATATTTTTTACCGATGATTAATTCATGTTAATATGAACTAGTATGTTTTAATTTTTTGTACTTATACCAACAAGTAATTTGATAATATATCTTTTACTGACAATTAATGCTCGTTAATATAACCTCATGAATTTTTACTTTTACTAATGATTTACAATTGGTAGTGTTAGAATAGCTTAAAATATTCCAACAAAAAAAAAAACTTTACCAATGATTGACGATTGGTGACATCATTATAACCTAAAATATTTTAATAAAAAAAAGTGTCCGCATAAATGTTAAAACATTGATAAAAACTTTTTTTTTAATTATATTTTCAATTATTAATATTAATTTATTTACAATTATAATATAATATTTCATATAAAGTAAAAACATATATCAAAGTAAAAGATATTTAATAACATTCCAAATATAACGACAAATAAATTATTTTATAATCTACAAATTTAGAATAAGTCAAGAACTAAAGTCATTATACCAAGTCTAGATAAAAACAAACATCATTGAATGTCTACAAACATGGACATTCTCCTCAAAGCCATCATCCATCATCTTCATTGTTGCCACACGTTTAGCCTTACAAACCTGTCAATTTGATACTAACTTGCATAAGCTACCGAATAATTGTGTTGTTAAAGTTGATTCATATAAACACCAGATACGACAATGTCAAATAAAAACTCTAGTCAAAGCAAGCAAACAGCACAAGTTATTAATCCTTTAAATGCAGATTATATGTGCCACATTTGCATCCTTTTCCGGAGCATATATTCGATATATAGGTAGTAAAGTTAACAAGCCAAACCTAATAGTATCAATATGCAGAGCAGAGGCATTATTCCACAACAGCAGAATTATTTTATTCCTCTTTCAAGATAATTCGATGGGACAAGCTCTGGTTCCTAAAATAAAAAACACAACACCCTATGGCATAGTATTACAAAGTTCTAACAGGATTTACCACGTATTTTCAACCTAAGAGCATTAGGTACAAATGCATATGCAATTCACACTACAAATTCTACCAAGGTGGACTTGCAACAGTTGTCTAAATGAGGTAAACTATGCCATAAAATTTGTAAAGTAATGGGAAACCAATGTTCCTTTCAGACCATTCCATAAAAAACTCATTGTCCTTGTGGTGATCGAACTCATGAGTCATTCTGATTAATAGGGCTCATTTTGGAAATATCTGTTATAGAGAGCCTCAAGAGTATGAAAAAATAAGTTGATGGAATATGTGTGGCTAGTGACAATAAAAAAAACTAAAATGAAGAAATTATTGGAAAATGTCGAACAAACCTGAGGTAAGCATACGTGAACATTAGAGATCCTCACTGGTATGCAGAAAACAGTAAACATTAGTTCAGAGAAGAAGATGCATAGCAAGCAAAATATTTTTAAAACAACAATCATAAATCATTCAAAATACAATAAATAATAGAGTGGAAGATTAAATTACAATTGCAGTAGACA